GCCTCCCCGCACCCACCGCCGCACCCTTTCAGCCTCTGTTTAACAGGGTCCTGTCCCCTTTCCCATCCTTGCCTCTCTCCTCCCGTCCCCTTTGGGCTAAAGAGACACACACCCTTTACGTCTGTGCAAGGGAGAGGAGCCTGGAACTGGGGGTGCTGAGGAGGGTGCAGGGCGGGGTCCCCGCAGCGCAGCTCGAGGGGCCGCTGAGGCAGAGTAAGCCGAGCTCCTCCTCCAAGATTAAAGACCCCAGGGCTCCAGAGGGCTCGGAGGCGCGTCCCCTAATCTCCTCTGCACCCCAGCTGCCCCTAGCATCAGACAATCTCTCCTCTGTCCCTGCTGGCAGGTCCCACAGTGACCACTTTAGGCTCCTACGAGGTGTCCGAGGGATGTGAGAGGAAGAAAGGCCAACGCTGGGGGTCCCTGGAGCGGCGGGGGATGCAAGCTATGGAGGGTGAGTTTTCCCAGAAAGCTTTCTTTCTCTTCCCCTTGCCCAATTTCTCTTCCCTTCTCCTTCCACCCTCTGACCCCCCAGAACTCTGAGCCAGGACACAGCTCTTTCCCCAGTTCACCTTAGCCCCCTCCACCCCCTCCTCAGGGCTGAGGCTTTGAGGCCCTTTGGGGCTCTCATCACCACCTAACCAGGTTGTGTGTCCTGGGGGAGCTGCCAGACAGAGGAACAGGCCTCACTGGGACAGAGCTTTGAAGCAGCTTTTCAGCAGGGGGTTTGTTCTTATGCCTCCCGACCCAGATACCGAGCTGTCTCTTATTTTGAAAAGCAGGGAAGTGAGCATGTGAATCGTCTTTCTGGTGCTACCACCACTAACTTCATATGCAAGCCTTGTGGCTTTGGTTCTCTAGGATAGCTTACTGCCTGAAAGAGACTGCCTGGGAGGGGGACAGGTGCGAAGGCCAACCTCCTAACACTCATGTGTCCCCACCACACCCATGGGACTTTGTGGTTGCTGCCAACACCCAGGCCCCTGGAAGGATGCTGGTTCGTTTTCCAGGACTTCTTGTAAAGTGTCCCCAGACCCCTGTGCACACTCAGTGAGGGCCACCCTGCTTCCCCAAGGGGGACAAGTGATTCAAGGGATCCCAGATGAACCGTAGCCTGCTGTTATTGGAGAAAATAAGACTAGGGATTCAGACTTTAAAACGAAGCAAGCAATCACCATCCAGATAAGATTTTTGCTATTTAGAGGAACTGCATTGCAGCAAAGGAGGGGGTGCTCACCAACCAGAGGCTGGAGACCAGCACACCCCAGTTTTCAGTGCATTAAAGGCTTTCTTTTACACGCAAGCACAATCTCAGACTTCCCCTGAAAAACTGCATTGTGGTCACCTGGGGAGGAGGGGCCTCGTAACACTCAGGAAAGGGAGAGGAGACCCCTCTTCCCCCGCAAACACTCAGCAGGGTAAAGGAAGATGGACCTTGTAGAAAATTTCGAAAAGCACATTTGAAAGGGCCCCCATGTTTGTCCTGGTAAACATTCAAAATCATTTAAGTGTTTTTTCTTTCTCTGCCTGTTGACAGGCAATGCCTTTTTATTATGGAAAGGCTAATTTCTCACAAGGCCCCAGGATAATTTTTAACTTTCTACAAACCCCCAAACTGTAACTTTTACCCTATTTGGCTTAAGTTATGCCCAGACAGTGCGACATAACTATCTCTTAGTTATGTCCCACTATCCAGAGACCAGGGCTGGAAGAAGCAGGAATCCTTATGCAAGCTTCACATGACTGAGCCAGCACCCAGCTGCTCAGTTGGCCCAAAGGCAGTAATGGGAGGTCACCAGATGCAGTACCTGTCCAGAAAGGGCCTGGGAGTGGGTGGGCTACCTCCAAACTTGACCCGCACACCTGAGGACTCATGAGTGCAGGTCCTGCCCAGGGGGTCCTTGGGGGACACCAGGTGGCACTATTATACCATCTCTGTCCAGAGACAGTGAGTTTGAGGGCCTCCCCTAGAAGGACCCTAGAAAGGAAGTTGTCTCTGACTCCCTGATGGGACGGGTGTCTTTCCTAGGAGAAGTGTTGCTCCCAGCTCTCTATGAGGAGGAAGAAGAGGAGGAAGAGGAGGAAGAAGAGGTGGAAGAAGAGGAAGAGCAAGTGCAGAAAGGTGGCAGTGTGGGCTCCCTGTCATTGGGCAAGCACCGGGGCCTGAGCCTCACGGAGACAGAGCTGGAGGAGCTGAGGGCTCAGGTGCTACAGCTGGTGGCGGAGCTGGAAGAGACCCGGGAACTAGCAGGGCAGCATGAGGATGACTCCCTGGAGCTCCAGGGTGAGTATCTGTGACAGGGCCAGGGGGCCTGGGCGCAAAGGCCCTGTGCTCGCTGGACCCCAGGCCTGATGCTGGCTCCCCGTCTCACTGCAGGGCTCCTGGAGGACGAGCGGCTGGCCAGTGCCCAGCAGGCAGAGGTCTTCACCAAGCAGATCCAGCAGCTCCAAGGTAATTCCCGCAACTAAGGCTGGAGAGGTGGTGGTCTTCCAGGTACTTCTGTCCTGAGGGTTTGGCTGAAGCACAGCGGAGAAACATAACCTAATTCAGTACTTTCTCTTCTTTTTTCTCTGCTAATCTCACCTTTTCTCATCTCTCCACTCCCCTCTTTACCTAATTTTCTTTCTTCTTGGCATCTCTGCCTGGCTCTTCTGTCTTCCCTTTCCCTTTCTTGCCCTCCCACTTCACCCCCTTTCCCTGTGGCTAACTGTCTCCTGCAGCCCCCTCCCTTCACACTTGCATCTCTTTTCCTTGGTTCTCCTGGTCAGTGCCAGGGGTAGTTGATTGGAACTGAATTCCAAACCAGATTGCTTTTTCCTGGCCCTCCAAAGGCACCATGGGAAGAGCAGTGAGCCAATGAGATGTGACTGGAGGGGACTCTGTACATCTTTCAAGTGAAGCAGATGAGACCGCTTCTTTTGCTCCCCTGGACCAAGCTGTGGCTCCAAACTCCCTCTCTTCTAACGCCCACATTCCCTTTGTCTCTGGGAAGCATCAAGGCAGGTGTCCCACATTCCACTGTACCACCAAATAAAGAGGCAGCTTTTGTTATTCCCGTGGGCTTCCGGAAGGTTTGGGGGAGCTGCCCTAGAAAACAGCAGGGACTCTCCCAGGAGAAGGGAGATCAAGCCAAACGAAAAGTATAAATGGAGAGAAAAGGAAGGCCAGGAAAGGACAAAGCAAAAGTGGGCGAGGGGGAGGGAAGGAAGATGTAAGCAAAGGCAGAGGCTTGCATCTGCCTTTGAAGATAGATGACAATTCATAGGGGAGGGCGGAGGGGAGAGATGGAGGCAATGTGTTGCACGGGGCAAAGCGTGTGAGCATTGGTCTCAGATCACCTAGATCCTAGGGCCCAACTCAGCCATGTAACAAGCTTGGTGCTCTTGGGCAAGTCACTTTTATCTTTCTGAAACTTGGTTCCTTATCTGTAAAATGGGGCTAATGTATTTGTTTATCAACCATTTATGGAGTGCCTGTATACTTGGAGGACCAGCTATGAACAAGACAGACCAGATCCCTGCCCTAATGAAGAGTACATTCTAATAAGGAGAGGCAGAAAATAAACAAGTTCAGGAGGCAATAAATGCTGTGAATACGATATAATAATATGACAGAGATGGGGTGAAGTAGGAGTTTATTTTTGATAAGGTAACTGGAAAAGTCCCCTTTGAGAAGGTAGCATTTGAACTAAGACCTGAATAATGAGAAAGATCTGAGGAAAAGCACATTAGGCAAAAGGAATAGCAACTACTAAAGCTCAGAGGCAAGAATGAGCTTCATACCCCAGTGAGTTTGCTCAGTGGTTAGAGCGTCGGCCCAAGGACTGAAGGGTCCCCTGGTTCTATTCCGGCCAAGGGCACGTATCTCGGTTGCAGGCTCGATCCCTGGCCCCGGTGGTTGGGATGCATGGGGGAGGCAACCAATTGATGTGTCTCTCTCACATCGATGTTTCTCTCTCTCTCCTTCCACTGTCTCTGAAAAGCAATGGAAAAAAATATCCTCGGGTGACGATTAAAAAAAAAAAAAAGAGCTTCATGTGTTTGAAGGACAGTTCAAAGGCCATTGTGGCTGAAACAAAGTGCATGTGGAGGACCATGGTAGAGTTCTAAGAGGCAGGCAGAGGCCAGATTACAAAGGGCCTTGTAGGCGAGCTGAGAGGTTTGGCTTTTATCCTAAGTATAGCAGAAAGACGTGGGAGGGCCTTAGCCAGATCTGGGGTGATATGATCTGCTTTACATTTTGAAAAAGAGCACTTTAGCCCTGAGCAGTGTGGCTCAGTTGGTTGAGCACTGTCCCATGCACCAAAAGGTTCGATTTCTGGTCAGGTTCGACAGGTGTGTGCAGAAGGCAACCAATCAATGTTTCTCTCTCACATTGATGTTTCTCTCTCTCTCCTTCTCTCTTCCTCTCTCTCTAAAAAATCAATAAAAGATTTTTTTAAAACCCCACATTACCTTAAAGAAAAAAAAAGAGCACTTTGGCCACTGTGTAGAAGTTTAATGGAGGGAACAGAGTCAAAACAGTGAGTCTGGTCAGTAAGTTATTGCAGTAGTCCGGTCAAGAGCTAGTGGTTGGTTGGATGAGAGCGGTAGAAATGAAGGTGATTCACAATAAAATTTGAAGGTCAAGCCCTCAGGACTTCTGACGAATTGGATGGGGGATAAGAGAGATGTGAAAGATGACTGTCTTAAAACTGGTTGGTTGGTGGTGTCATTTGTTGGGATGGGAAGACTTGAGAGCTAGGGGGAGCATTTAAGACATGTTTTCTACATGCTGAGTTTGAAATGGCTAACGACATCCAAGTAAATATGTTAAATTTGATAAATGGATCTAGAACCAGGGGAGAAATCGGAGATATAAATTTGGGAGTCCTCAGCATATAGATAGCATTCAAATCTGTGGGAGAGCGCCATGAAATCACGTGGAGATACAGGAAGAGAAGAAAAAAGGGTCCAGTCCCAGGGTTAGTCCCGTATTTAAAGGTCCCGTATAGAAGGAGGAAGGAACAAAGGAGACTGAGGTAGGGGGAACTGCGGAAGCATTTCATGCCCTGGAACCCAAGAGCAGAAAGTGCTTAAGGAGGTAACAATCAGCTGTGTCCAAAGTTGCATAGTCCATAAGATGGCCATTTGATTTGGCAAGGCGGAGGGCTCTGAGGTATTTCAGTGAAGCTGGAGGCCTGACTGGATTGGGACTGAAGAGGGCAGGGGAGGTGAAACGGACAAGGTGAGCGCAGGTAATCCCAGCAGGCATGTTTTGACGAGAGGCAGAGAAATAAAGGAATGGAATGAGGAATAAAATCAAAGGGAGAGTGTTTGGGGATTTTTTTTTTTTTTTTTTTTTT